CAAAATGTATTTTAATTAATTTTTCTTGTATTTCTTTGAGCTTAAACACGGCTTATATTTATTAGTTTTATGTGTATTTACATTTATTTAATCATTATTCTGAATTGAATTTTTTTATTATTAATATTACAATACATTTAATTATTGTGATACGAGTATATACAACTATTCGTTTGTAGTAGCACATCGATTACCGATAATCAATGTGCCCACATTGCGACGCGATGGATTTATTACATGTTTTGTTCTTATTTGTTCCGTATTATCGAGTAGTGGAAATTCTCAATAGATTATTTATTTTTAAAACTTAATTGCACAGTCGGTGGCAGATCCACATAATTCCAATTCTACAATATTATATCGAATATAACATTGCATTTACGATAAAACAATATTTTGAAAAAAATACAAGTTCAAAAAAAAATTTATAACAATACAAGTCACGTGGGGTTAAATATGACCCATTTCAATTTTGATGAATATTTTATGTCATACATTTTTTTTCGAAGGTATTTATTTATGAAAATCGATTCAATATTACTATAAAAAACATCTTCTAAATTTATATCTATGTACACCTTTTATGCAATATAATACATCCGTTTTTATTTATGTGATGGTATGCTAGACCCCCACGCAACTGTTTAAGGGTTAAATGGTTCATTTAAAAAAATTTAGAGATATAGTTTTTTTTTTAATTTTTTGAAAATGTTGAAATAATTATATAATAAAATGTGTTTAGCATTGATAATGGTAACATTGTTTCCGAAATACGTATCCGCGACTTTTCATTAATTTTTTGTAAATTTTTGTGGCTTTGAGTTTAATATTTTTTAGTTTTTTAAATTAATACTATTTGTAATATAGTTTTAATTTTACTTGAAATAATTATTGATTAATAAATGTCATTTTTTTTTATTACTTTGTAATAAATTATTGATGAATACCTAAATGTTTTTTTTTCTTTACTTTGTTAAAATAAATTTTCTATTATCTCTGGTTACTCTAATAATAAATTAATCATATGGTATTAAATAATGAAAAGAAAAAAAAGTTAATATTATGTTTTAGTAGATGACTTACAATGATATAACTTACTGAATAGTTGGAAATTATTTATTAATTTCTTAAATAAATAATAATAATAATAATATTGACTGTTGAATAATTTAATTATTTAAATAAAAAATAATCATATTCTATAAACAAATTTATTGTATGTTTATATATATACATATTTATAATTATTACACATTTGTAGTTAAAGGTTAACTATTTAAAATGTATTGATTCTAAGAGAATCAATCTAAAAAGAGAAATTACATTTAACGTAATTAAAATTTCAATTTTCTAACAATCTTTATTAATTTTTTAAATAATTTATCACTTATGGTGTCATATTGAAAGCTATAGCATTTTTTCCATATGAAATAATACCTAACACAATATTGAAATGTCACTATTCAATTAAAAAAATAAAATAAAAAAAAAACTTTAAATGAATATTACACATTGAACTGAATAGTTGAATAGTGGTGTAGGGTTTGTGAAATATACATATATTTTTGTTATATACATTATATGTATATTAAATGTATAACAAATTTTGTTATATACTAAGATTTACTAATCTTAGTTGTCAATATGTTGTGAGTTCACATGAAAATATTTGCGGTTGCGGTCGATCGTTTATCGATAATGATGAATTAAGATTGCTTTATTANATTTGCGGTTGCGGTCGATCGTTTATCGATAATGACGAATTAAGATTGCTTTATTAATTGAATCTGGGTCACCGACAAACGTTTATTGCTAAATAAAATATAAATTTTCGTATTTTTAAATAATACTACATGTATTATATGCAAATCTTACAAAGAGTTTGTTTATTTCACGCAATGTCGTAGATAGCAAATGTAAAACGTAATTTAATTTGTACTAGTTAAAAAAAAAAATCGCAATTCGGAAGAAAACGTCCACAATAAAGCTGATGTGGTCTGATTTTTTGGTAGATATCAACGCGTATAAATATTTCATCTCTCTTAGATTCTATGCATACAAGGCGAACTGTCCACAGAGCCAAGGTGACAAACACCCATTTGGATTAATGTTTCAATTCTTAAATGGGGTCAGTTTAAGTAATAACAGATTCGTGAAATATGATTACACATTATTAAACAATATTTTGTTATAAGTCATAACTGTTATTTGTATATAATTATATTATAAACTTATAAGGTAAATGTTTATTGCTATAACTACCGTATACTTTTTCAGAATTTTCAACGTTCATTTATAAAATATGATGGGTAATTTTTACCAAATATTTCGCGTTTTAGGGAACTTCTTTTAAAGTGGACACATTTCAATAGTTGTAGGAGGGGTACTGGGTTCCCTTAAGCCCCTCACCTCACTTGAAGCCTTGTACCATGTTCACAAGTATGAACTTGATTTACAGAAAACATATTTATAGCAAAGTTAAAATATGTTATGCTAATATTAAAGTAAAAGTATAAACAACATTACATTTATATGTAAAGTATACAATTTTAAAAGACACAGTTTAATTTTTTACGATTATTTATTCGCACTTTACCGAAAATATAACTAATTACAATTCAAGAACAAATGGTTTATAAATGTTTTTTTTTCTATGCAAAATTTTCACACACCGATTACATTTATTAGTTAATGTACCATGGCATTATGTTTTTTGTTTTATCTTAATATAAAAAAAATTTCTAATTCTTCGTAAATTATAGATTCACTTAGTCTATACGAGTTAAAATTTTAACACGCAAAAAAAAAAAAGAACATGTCAATTTTTAATAACTTTATTGTATTATTCAATGTAATAGTGTAAGAATGTCAAATTTTTTGTGTATATGATAATGTATAAAACCTATAGACATATTTTGAGATAAACTACAATGACTCATTGGTTATGGATAATTAAACTTTATATAACTTTTAATGCACATAATTGGGCGCCTCACTTATAATAACGTTTCAAAATATTATTCGGGCGACGCTGTAGGTCTTCCAAACAATGCTCGTGTATGCACGCGTACCCGCATATACTGAGACAAACAACTCTAATGTTCGCACACGACAAATGTATTATAACTATTTTACTATTTAAAATTTTGCATTTTTAATAAAAATGTAGGATTAAGAACATACAATCTTCTTTTAATTAATTTTAGTAGGGTACGATCGTCCCGTCGTCNTAATTAATTTTAGTAGGATACGATCGTCCCGTCGTCCAAGCCACGAGCCGCCACTGATATTTTGGATCAATTTAACAAAATTATCAATAACCGTTAAACTTCTATTAATTCGACGTGAAATTACACGATTTGAAAGAGCAGACTCGTTATAAGCGATAATTTTACCCCTTTATTCATTTTTAAGTGGTTTTCCTCTACACATAGTAAAAGATTTGAAACTAAATTATAATATTAAAGATTTAACATTTTTTATATTACACATAATTATTGTATGAGTGTTTTGCCAATTTTTTAACAAATAAACTTTAGGTATGCTATAGTAAAGTTATTGCCTTTAAAATTTTAACACGCAAAAAAAATAGGTCAATTTTTATTAACTTCATTGTATTATTCAATGTAATAGTATAAGAATGTCAAATTTTTTATGTATATGATATATTATAAAACCTATAGACATATTTTGGGATAAACTATAACGACTCATTGGTTATGATTAATTAAACTTTTACTCAATTGTGTGCCTTTATCTTATTGTTATATAGTATAGATAGTTGCTATTGCTATCATTTACTTTTACAAGAATGTTAAAATTCTTTTCATCAAAACTAATATAATCATAAATCGTTCACACACCAATGATTAACTTAGGCTATACGAGTGCTAAAATAACAATCCAATATCACGGACATAGGACCATCTTGTACGATGTGGTATTGTTTAATTTAGGATTTCAAACACATTTTTATAATGTTGGCAGTGTTTTACACAGACACACACTTACGACTATACAAAACCGGTCGGTGACCTACTGCCACCGTCAAATAAGAACAATCATGCCCAATAACAAGGATCCCGAGATGAGGTGCAATGGTATACCCTAGGATTTTTCGTGTCACTAACGCAAATTATACAATCCTCAAAAACTACTAAATCTATGCGTTTGATTTTTTTATTAATGTAAAAACCACAAGCGTTTATGCGGAGGGACATGTAGTCAGTTTTGTACAGTCAACGGATTAAGTAAAATGTGTCTGTTTATTTCTATGAGCTTTCCAAATTCTTAATAATAAAGTTGTTAATGTTTTTCTACAGTATTTTGTTACTGGTTATAACCGTTATTTGTTCATGTTTATATAATGTATTGTAATGTAGGATAACGTTTTATAAAATAGATAGTTGCTATTACTATCATTTACTTTTACACAATTATTAAAAATTTTTTTCGTCAGAAATTAATTTAAGCATATATTTTTCGCATACCGATTCACTTATACGTGTGGACCACTAAAACACACAATCCAATATCACGGACATAAAGTAACAATAATTTACATACACAAATATTTTACTTACTATTTATGAACATATTCTAATTTAAATTTGAGTGTAAAAAACACGACATTCTTATTAAATTTTTACAAAGTTAACAAAAAATATGTCATTGGGAACAATTGTGGACAGAAAAGTCACACATAGTCTTATTTTTTAGTAGATATTAAAGCGTGTAAATACTACATATATCTTAGATTTTACATAATACCAATGTAGTGTAAAACATTTTTTATTAAATTGTTAATGGGTATTTTTATTTATTACCCACTTTAGCATGGTATTTTTATTTAGTTTCATACATCATCAGATAAACTAATANAGCATGATATTTTTATTTAGTTTCATACATCATCAGATAAACTAATAAATGTAATTTTTACATGAAAATCGATAAAACATATAATAATAGTCTTATTACGTGTGTTTACTATATTGGTTAAATAACTACTGTCACTTACATTACAAAATATGTATACAGTTAGGAGACCCTATGTTTTTTACCCATGGATCGTCTTCGTCATCACAACAATCTTTCAAGCGTAGACCACAGCAATAACATTTTTGTCCATTACCTAAAAACAATATACACTTATACATAATGTAATTGATTAACTGTACGAATCGTAAAATTACATTCAATTTGACAATATATTATCACATACCTATGTATAAAACTCAGAATCACAAAGCATAGATATTTTTTATTCCAATTTTTGTTTTGGACAGTTTTCAAAAGTTTTTAAACAAGTGTTGAAATTGACAAATTTTTTTTGTTTTTTGTTTAGAGAGTTTAAATCTAGGCTGTTTGCTATTAACCGTTGAGCAGTATAATCCACAGACATCATATCCTAAACAAGAAAAATAATAATATAATTTCACGTAAAATTAATCTCGATTGTCATGTACAGTTTTTAATTACTTACTCGAATTTTCATCGAGACGATTTTCATATACGTTTCCTTGCTTTCCACTATCTATTTTTGATCAAACACTCAAAATGTATCAATCAAATAAATATATGATGACGGGGCGCAGTCTGTAATCCAACCTGTGCAAATGAGGGGCACTAACTAATATACATGTGTACACATAATCGTACAGTCATATTTACTCGTTTATTTAAGAAGCAAGTAATCATTACATGCATTAACATATAAATGGAATATTTTTCTTTTAAATATATGAATATATAAAAGAACAAAAAAATACTCAATTGTTGAAAAAATAAATTCCAATATTAGTATATATATATTGTACAAAACGTTCTAATAAAAAGACAACTATTGTTGATGTATAATGCGAAAAAATATAAGTGTATCTATAAACAACAGTTTATTGTATTTCGAATACTATGTTATTCTTCATATATGTACTGTCATTATAGTAAAGATGAACTCCAAAAATTGAAAAATTATTTTATTTAAATATATATAATGAGAACTTAGTTGCGAGTTTTTAGAGTAGCTCATCTTACATCTATATACCAGCTCAGAGGCCGAGTAATCAAGGATTTTGTTTTATACGTGAAAATAGACTTACTACTTGAGAAAAAATCCTTATAAGTCTTTACTAAGCAAAAAAGTAGTAGCTCGTCAGACATACGATCATTTTTTGCTTAGTACAACCCAACGTCATTTTGCTTAGTTACTTTGGGTTGTTTAAGCAAAGGCGACGGATATGCATGATCTGACCGGCCCGAGAAAATAGAATCTAGCAGCCTACAAGACCATATCCAAGATCGATAGCAATATTTTCACCTGCCCATTGTCAACAGCATAAGTAGCGGCCCACTGAGAAAATCTCAGTGTCCCTATCTGCCCCTGTGTTTATGCGGTTACCGCATAAATTACGGTGGCAATATATTAGTAGTTATGTCTAAAAGAAATACACATTGTCAGGGGTTGCGTTAAACATTCTATTCGAGTAGTATGAATAACATATTTGTATTGATGGTTGTTATCGTATGAACAAAAAAATTAGTGGAATACCCATTGTCTACAACCAATTTCGGTTTCAAACATGCCATTGTCTAGGCTCGTTTTTGACTATCTTGAACTCTACCATCTAGCAATAAGAAGAAATACATTTTAGTAGTAGATACTTGTTATAATACCAAGTATGTTTTCACTAAAGCTGTAGAATCTGATACTGCTGAATAAACTGTTAAATTTTTATTGAAATAGTCTCTCAATAGGGTTGCTTTCAGCAATTCACATCAGATAGGGGCATACATTTTAAAAACAAATTAGTTCAGGAAGTTTGCTAAAACTTAGATATTAAACAGGGGTTCTCTACTGCATACTCTCTCTAGACTAAAGGTCTAGTAGAAAAAATAAATGTTGTAATTTGTGCATCATTAAGAAATTACATAGAAAATAATGAACAATCAAGGTGGTCATATTATTTACAATATATAACATTAGCTTATAATTCAACTCCGCAAACGAGTACTGGTTACAGTCCGTTTTATTTAATGCATGGTTTTGAACCTCATTTTCCGATAGATAATAAAATATTACCGAACAATATTACTTATGATATAATGAAATCATTAAAAAATCTACAAGAAGTGAGAAACAAAATACCTTTAATTATACAAAAAGTACAAAAAATTCAAAAAAATAATTATGATCAAATTATCATATTACACAATTAACACAAATTATTCATCAAAAACACAGAACTTTGTTATTAAGTTAATTTTTCTTTCACATTTTCATCTGCATTGCCAATATTTCAGTAAAATTTCAAACAAATCTATAGAATTTTCTTCACATACAAATACAAATGTATTATAAATTAAATTAAAAATTTATTATATATATAATAATTTACAATTCACATAATATGCAATTTTGTGTTAAAATTGACGATTTAGAATAGATCCTTCTTGTCACGAGCATTACATAACAAGATACAATAATTGTATTATTATTATCATAATTAAAAAAAAAGATGTATTTTAGTTCGGTTATGCTTAATTTGTAAAATGAGGGACTTTGAAAGATCATCCAAACCCATGACTTTCAAATCACTTAAAAATGCTTCAGAATTCAACAAATAATACAGATATTATATTTCACATTCATTATTATGAATTTATATATATATTTATATACCTATTAATGTTTACATTCTTTATCACTTGTTTCTTTACAAAAATCAAGCATCCTCTATATAATTAAATAGTTCATACTCATTACAATTTCTTACNCTATATAATTAAATAGTTCATACTCATTACAATTTCTTACAAAACACTATTAATTCAACAATTATTAGTTTATTAGTTCTTTTTTTCTCCCAATAATTTTTTCTTAAATTTTCAACTATTTATCAGCTTGATCTTAGTGTCGCAACAATAGTGTTTTATATATATATATATAATTTTAAAACATATATACAATTATTAATCATACATAACTTGAGTATTAAACAATTTTATTACATAAATTTATTATAGAATGAACCTACCTTGTCATAAAACATTCTCAACAAAAAAATTATTTCACAAAAAAATCTCATGGGAGTGTACCACAGAAAAATTATGCTCTGAGTGTGAAGTTAGGGAGAACTATAGAAAAACATTTGCATACAATTACCACATCACTAGGCACATTTCCGTTTGGCGTAGCGATGTGAAAGATTATTTTAAAAACAAACCTATAGCATTTCTCTCATTGAAAATAGCTGACAATGCACAATATGATGTAGAATATGACATGCGAAAATGTTATAATGCAATATTCAGACCAAATATACCATCCGATGATGGCCACATAGAATGGGAAAACGGTCTTATTAGCAAAAGTATAACTAAAAAGATTGATACTCGCAAAAAATTTCGAATCCCTAAAAATAATTATTGGCATCATTTCATTTTTTTAATACTTATTAAAGAAGTAAACTTCGATTTTTCGGATTTAAGTACATTAAATAAGTATAATCTGTTTTCAGACAAAAAGGGAATTTCCTCTAAAGATCCTTGGGCATTCACTTATCAGACTAGCTTAGAAATAATTAATAGTCAAAATGAATATGTATACAGGGTGGCCCACCACTCACTGACAATTTAAATAACTTTTGATCCAGTTAATATTTTTAGCTGATTTTTTTTTTAA